ACATGAGGGAACGTAGGGAAGTGGTTTATATAATTAAGACTAGAAATGATGTTAATGATATAGTGTTCTCTGTTCCTCTTTGTCGTTGGGTTTGTCTGGAATGAATATATTAGGATTTGTGAATGTTGTAAGCATATTTATTATGATAATTACGATCAAAGGTGCATTGGGATAAAGTTTATTGTGTGTGATATATAAATATGTCAGTCGCTTTGTCTAGAATGATGTATTTTCAGTATGTAATATTTTATCATTTATATTCCATTTTATCTGAATCTGAACAGGTTTAAATTCGCTAAAGCAATTAAAAAATATTTAATTACTGTGGCGCTTTGCATCGTTGTTTCTTCTCGACGCAAAATGATTTATATGTATTTAAAAAAAAATCTCTAAATGACCGGATTAACCTACATAAAAGCAATTGTTAAAAAAAGTCGTATCTGATTTAAGTTTTTTTTCTCCGGATTTTATCTAGAGATGTTCCACTATCCCCCCCCCCTTAACCTCCCTCTTATCCCCCCCCTTTCCCACCACTACCGCTTACCTACCCCCCCCCACACCCCCACACCCACATCCCTTCAAACAACCCCCCAACCTCTCGCCCCAAACCCCCAGTTTTCACTCGCTTCCTCAACCCACTTTCACCCCCATGGCAAAAAAAAAAAAAAAGGAAAAAAATTGCATTCCTAAGCCTTCTCGCCAATAATCGATAATTAGATATTCGTCAGAAGCAGCTAATTACCAACAAATGACTCCCAGATCATCTAGGCTTCCTGACCCCCCTCCCCCGTCCTTCCTTCTCCCCCCAATCATCTTCCACCCTCCTCCTCCTCCTCCTCCCCCTCCCACCCCTAAATCATGCTACCTCCCCGCCTCCTTTTCCTCCTCCTTTATCACCTTCTTCCTCCTCCCTCTCTTTCTCCCTTTTTTTTCTTTCTTTTTCCTTTCCTTCTAGATTTGCATACTGGCCGTTTCCTTCGCATCGACTGGTCTTTAGGTTAAGCGAAACTGTCCAGGAGTGGCTTGGCTGCAGCGGAGGGAGCGAGACGGCAATATTGCTGCGTGAGGGCCTTTGCCGATATATATATATATATATATATATATATATATATATATATATATATATATATATATATATATATGCATATATATGTGTGTGTGTGTGTGTGTGTGTATGTGTGTGTGTGTGTGTGTGTATGTGTGTGTGTGTGTGTACACATTTCAGGTGTTTGTACTCGAGAGGAGACCTCACGGTATCTATTTCAGTATATATGTGTATATATGTGTATATATGTGCGTGTATACACACATATATACATACACACACACACACACACTCACACACACACACACACACACACACACACACACACACACACACACACACACACATACATACTCACATATGTATATATACACATACACATATATACACACACACACACATGCGTTTGTAGCTTTAAAAATATATATGAATCAGATCTCAAACTATGCATCTAAAATATTTTTTTATAATATAATAGTTTTTAATAATTTTATTTCATTTTTTTTATATAAATTTCATTATCTACGTATCATTGCTTTTGGCATGTTCATTGAAATTACATCTTAATTTTTTAGCATTTAGGATTAGCATAATCCTACTGGCTATCTATTCTAAGTACATTTCTTTTCTATAAGTAATTGCTAATTCCTCGTTAATTCCTCTATTGGCAATTTCCATTATCCTTTTTTTTTCTTATCTTATCTGCAATGATCTGCCGGCTGCGCACGTGTAGTTGATCAGAGTCACCGTGATGAATGCTAATGAGTCTCGGTCTGCCACTTAGATATTCATCACTCTGACCTCAGCTGACCCATCTCAGGTCATGCAAGCGAGGTCAGGTCAACACAGGTAGGTCAGCTTGCCTTTTCTAAGCTGGGGATGTGGTTAACGTGAGCTAGAGAGAGAGGGGGGGGGGGGAAGATGAGAGGGAAAGGGGAGAGGGGAGGAGGGGGAAAGGGAGAGGGGGGTAGGGGAGAAATGGGGAAGCACTAATGTTTTAATGGTTGCTAAATGATCCTATTCGTTATTCATTACTAAATTTGGGTCATTTTGAGGAAGGGGTGGATGGGAGTGGGGGGTGGGGGGTGTCCTAATGAGTCGGAGAGATAGAGAGTGAGCGAGTTTTAATCAGTTTTAAAATGCTTCCTGTATCCTGATCTATTCAAATTTTTGGGGACAAATTTGCGGATGTGGTTTACCCTTTAACGAAAATTTGTCTCCCGGTGAATATTTGTCAATGGTAATTTTAACCTTTTTTTTTAGAAGTGACGTATGGGTAGCCTTATCAATAAATTTTGACTATTTTTCCCTATACATACTCAAACATCTATGCAATATATATATATACACTCAACATTTATCAAACATCCTTTAACACCTATGATATCATTTTTACCAACGTCACATCAACACAGTAAAACATGAAATCCTCTGGGATATTTTTTATCTTTGACAAATATTATCTCCTAAGTCACGTGGATTTAGAAAACGCCCATCACCAAGTTTATCAGTTAAGAATAGATAGTGTATGTCAGTCTCATTTGCCACAGTGACTTTTGCATAATGGGGTGCATATCAAGCAGATCAGATGTCATAATTGTAAAAGGAGAGAAGATGAAAGAAGAGAGAGAGAGAGAGAGAGAGAGAGAGAGAGAGAGAGAGAGAGAGAGAGAGAGAGAGAGAGAGAGAGAGAGAGAGAGAGAGAGAGAGAAAGAGAGAGAGAGAGAGAGATAAAGCGGGGGAGGAAAGAGCAACAAAATACTAACTGCATTTCAAAACAATATTTGCAGAATATTCCAAAGACTAACTTTCGTCAGAAATGATAAACAGTATAATAAACACTTGCTTAACATATCAATCATATTTCCTTCATCAGAAATAATAGACAATATAATTAAAACATAAACTTGGCAAATACAAAGGCAACTCTATTGAATTACACCATAACAAAAGTGTAATAACTCCTCTATTATAAACTATATTCTTAAATCCAAAATCTCAGTAAAATCACACATAATATATAAGGGATGGACACAGATACTAACGTGTCACTGTTAATATGTATCATACGTGGCTACATGTTTCACGCCCTAGTAAATATGTATCCAATGTATCCGGGTACAGATAATATAATTCAGACAGTTATTAATACATTTATAAGACAATGAAGATGTCATCTTTTTATCAATATTGCAACAATAGCTATCATCACTGTTGTTTTCTATACTAGTTGACATTATCATTATTATCTATATATCATCAATAGTTCTCTCTTTATGAACGGTCACGCACATACAAGTTATTTTTGAGTTTTGTTACATTTGATAATTAAGAAATCAATATAGATAAATATGTTGTAAAGATATTTTATCTTTTACATGATACTGTGAGATGCAGCCGTAGCGATCTCGTCTAGCAATCTCTTTTACCTGCGTTCAAATCCCTCGCCGCCAGTGGATGGCAACCCCGGCCATTCCTTGCACACGGGATAACTTAGAAGCAAAAATAAAAGACACTATGTCATACCAAGAAAATCCATTATAACAAATGGAATCAAATTAAAATTAAATGTTATGAGGAACATTTTTCACCGAGAAGCAAAGGAAAAAAATCTCAAATCGTTTATATCATTTAATATTGATTTTTTTTTTAGTTTTGTTACATTTAATAGTTAAGAAATCAGTATAGATAAACCTGTTGTTAAGATATCTTATCTTTAGATGATACAAGGAAAATTTTCCACCGAGAAACAACTCAAAAGGCGGAGGAAAAGGAGTATCTCAAGTTGTTTACATTATTTAGTATTGAGTTTTCTGAGATTCAAAGGCTTAGCATTGGTAATATTTAGCAGATGTTCTTATTTGTCTATCTGTATCTCTGTGTCTGTCTGTTTGGCTGGTTGTGGTAGCAATGGCTCTTTTTCTCTGTCTGTCTGTCTGTCTGTCTGTCTGTCTGTCTCTCTCTCTCTCTCTCTCTCTCTCTCTCTCTCTCTCTCTCTCTCTCTCTCTCTCTCTCTCTCTCTCTCTCTCTCTCTCTCTCTCTCTCACTCACTTCTTCTCCCTCACTATCTCTCTCTCTCTCTCTTTCTCTCTCTCTCTCTCTCTCTCTCTCTCTCTCTCTCTCTCTCTCTCTCTCTCTCATTCTCTCTCTCTCTCTCTCTCTCTCTCTCTCTCTCTCTCTCTCTCTCTCTATATATATATATATATATATATATATATATATATATATATATCTCACTCACTCACTTCTTCTCCCACACCATCTCTCTCTCTCTCTCTCTCTCTCTCTCTCTCTCTCTCTCTCTCTCTCTCTCTCTCTCTCTCTATATATATATATATATATATATATATATATATATATCACTCACTCACTTCTTCTCCCACACCATCTCTCTCTCTCTCTCTCTCTCTCTCTCTCTCTCTCTCTCTCTCTCTCTCACTCACTCACTTCTTTTCCCTCATCATCATCATCTCTCTCTCTCTCTCTCTCTCTCTCTCTCTCTCTCTCTCTCTCTCTATCTTTCTCTCCTTCTCCATCTCCCCATCCCTCCCTTCCTCCTTTCCTCCCCTCTCCCTCTACTTCTCCTCTTCCCTCCTCTCCTTTCTTCTTTCCTCTCCCCCTCCTTTCCCAATCCCTCCCCCCCTCTCTAACTATCCACCTACTCTCCCATCCATCTTCTATCCACGTACGTATATCAACATCCTCCCTTCCTCTCCTTCCCCCCTCCCTCCGCCCCCCCCTCTCTAACTATCCACTTACTCTCCCATCCACCTCCTACCCACCTCCCATACGCATATCAACATGCAATTCCATCCACATAATACATCCCTGTTTCAAGTCACAAGACACATCCCGTGACTCAGGCAAGCAACACGAAGACCATTGTCAGAAACACCACCTCCACGATAGCTGATAAGGCGATAAGATAAGACGATCGCGCACGTCCACTGCCTCT